GCTGTGTCCAATAGCAAGCCGTTCAGAGTCGTCCCAAGATATTTAAGGCCTCCACCGGCAGCCCTGCCACCCTCCAGCGTGCACTGCCAGCCCCTTCCTGTAAGCAGCCCATGCCCCAGGATCGCGGCACCGTGTGCTCCTGCGCGCGCCCCTCCCGGAGCCCGGGATGCCCACTGTCACCTCTTCCTCGAGTACTCCTCACCCTTCACAAACCCAGTTCCCACATCACCATGCTGCTGGAGCCTCTGAAGCAGCCCGAGGGCAGACGGGGTGAGTCACTGCAGGGCTACGGTGTCCCTTCTGCGTCCCACTGCCTGGCACTTCCTGGGACACCCCTTAGTGCACTGTGTACAGTTCCTTGTCTACGAATCTGTCTTGTGGGGAAGGACTCTAGTGAGTTCATCTCTTGCCACTTTCTTACACTTGGTCAATGTTTGTTAAATACAGGCATGAACAACTGAATTCCAGAAGGAATCGGCGGTCTCCTCTCATCTCTGCCAACTGGCTTCTAGCATACGGATGGAGCATGGCAAATGGAAAACAGACCTGGACAGACCTTTAGGAAGGCTTCAGGGCCAAGAGCACAAAGAGAAACACTCCCTTCTCACCTCCTTCCAGTTGCTACCATGGCTTTGAATCTAGAGACCCAGGCAGTGGGCTCAGCGTGGCAGCAGTGCTGGGACACCCAGAGAGCAGAGGATACGGGGGCGCCAGTGTCAGGCTGAGACAAAGCTCTGCTTACCCCCTTCTTGGGAGTTCATGATGTTGAGGGCAAACAGCATGGCATTGGAGAACGTGGTTGCCTCTTCCTTACTTGCAAAGTTCAAGCCATAGACCTGACGGGCGTCTCGCCACTGGTGGAAGGTTGGCGTTGCCTGATTGTACTTCAGCCCTTTCACGATTGAATAGTTGATCACAACCTGCAGGAGAACAGAAAGAAATACGTGTAAATAAACACAAGGTAAGTGAGCTGGAGAGAGCTGCTGTGGGGCGAGGCTACTGGGTCCCCCAGGGCCACCGGAGGACAGGGACATGGGGGCGGTGCTAGAAGTGGCCAGCAAGATCAGGCAGCTTTCAGAGCATCATCTACAGAACAGAGAGGGGCTGAAAACAGTTATCCCACTTAGCTCACAGTACCGTGTAGTTACA